AAGAGTTGAAGAATAGGGGTGTATATTTATTCACAAGCACAAAAAATAAAAATACATAGAGTGAAAATCTCTCAAGCGGGCCACCCAAAATTGGATGGTCAAGATTTTTTCGCACAAATGTTGTTGTTGTAGCAGCATACAAGTTCCCCAAAGGGTTTTTGGGGAGTGTTGCTGGAGTTGGCCAGATATAAATCTGGGTCGTTCCGGTTACGTAGACCCGACTGTCGTCGCACAAATCACTTCATTCGGTTTACAACCATAAAAAAATATAATTTGAGCAATTTTGCAAAATTGAAATTTTTACAAGAGTTATTGTTATTCACTTTTTTTTTGATGAATTCAGTAACTTTATTATCCACTGATTCATAGCATGCAGCTTGCTGATTTTTTGCACGATAATAGTTAGTTAGATACGCTTCTGCCTGATTGTTTAAATTTTTCCAAAAATCATTATTTAGTACAAAGTTTTTAATTTTTATCAAACATTTTTATAAACAAATCAAAATATTTATTACTTCTCGATCAGATTTTTTAATCGTTTACATTGAATATCAATCCTTATGGTGCATTTACATGGCATGAATCTGTTGATAAGCCGTATGAATTTTCCTATAAAAGAAGCACCAACTCTATGAAGAAATGAATGATATATATATTTAACAATTTTGACTTGTATACTTGGCAAGTATTTTTTTGTAAACAACAAATAAAAAAATTTTATTTTGTGCTAGCTTTGAAACTAGAAGCTTATTTTTTTAAATGTGCTTTAAAAAGGACCTACTGCCAATAAAACCTTGTGGATTGCTATTTTTCCATATTTGTAATGCTTCCATTTAAACATCTTTGTGGAAAAACAGTTTTTGTTCAGAACTGCTTGTTTACGAAACGTTGGCATAAATTGAAATCATAGGGATGCCGTTTTCTTCCGTTTCTCAATGGATTTTATGTATGCACTACTTCTACATATCGTCGTTTAAAGTGCAAAACCTCGTATGTGAGGTTGCCTAAATTTTATAGGAGAGAGTAAAACTTGTCTTAATTAACAACGGTTTTCTCTTTTAAACTTAATGATCTCCTCTCCAAACATACGAACCAAATATTCGCTTTGATTTTTCGAAAGCCAACTTTAAAAAACTGAATAAAGAATTGTCTAAATTGTCGTGGCCTATATACAAAGAAAAAGTTGAGCAAAGCGTTGCACATTTTAATTGTACTGTACATAGATTATTTGAAAAGTATGTGCCTAAACGCATGTGTGTTCCTGAAGAACAAACACAGTTATGGTTCACTAAAGAACTGGGAAACTTGAAAAACAGAAAGTCACGTTATTTTAGATTACACAAAAAAACCGGCTTACACTCATAATATGTAAAATACTCACTTTTGCGTCACAAGTTCTTTGAATTAAACAAAAAGTGTTATAAAGATTACTTGTGTAAAATCAAACGACGTATAATATATAACCCCAAATCATTTTATGATTTCGTAAACTCCAAGCGAAATGTACGTGGGTTTCCTTCCGCCATGAAGTATCAAATACCGTCTCTGGTGATAATTAAACAATTTCTAACATGTTCGCTCAGTTTTTTAAATCCAATTATTCCACTAACTCCCGAGCATACTTTGACTATCCTTTTAAACTAAGTCCAATTAACTCAATACATAACCCTATAATATCTCCCGATGATGTTTTAGTTTACCTGAAGTCCTTAAAGCAGTCTTTTAGTTATGGTCCTGACCAGATCCCCACTTGTTTTCTTAGAAATTGTGCTGATTATCTCTATGAGCCGTTAACAGCCTTATTTAATTTGTCTCTTAAAGAGGGCGTTTTTCCAACTGTATAGAAGGAATCGTTCATAACCCCCTTACATAAAAGTGGTAGCAGGTCTTCAGTGGAGAACTACCGGGGCATAGCTAAGCTTTCTGCAATTCCTAAATTATTTGAAGCAATTATAACAAATCGGTTGACGCATTCTATCACTTCAAGCATTTCATACAGTCAACATGGATTTTGCAAGGGCAAATCAACTTATACAAATTTACTTGAATTAACATCCTATATCTCAAAAGCATTTAGTGAGAGCAAAACTGTTGATGTTATATATACTGATTTCAGTAAAGCATTTGACAAAGTGTGCCACTCGTTGCTCATCTATAAACTTGATCTTCTTGGTCTTCCACCTAATTTTCTACGTTGGATCTCTTCATACCTCTATGATAGATCACAAAGGGTATTGTTTAAAAATACTATCTCTGACGTCATTGATGTTACTTCAGGAGTCCCTCAGGGTAGCCACCTAGGTCAGATTCTGTTCTTGCTTTTTATAACCGATATTTCTACAGATATAAAATTCTCCAAAATTTTAATGTATGCAGATGATGTAAAACTTTATAAATCGTACGTTTCAATAAAAGAAAGGTCTTTGCTACAATCAGACTTAAACAGCATGGCTTACTGGTGTAAAGTAAATCTTATACCTCTAAATCTTAAGAAATGTAAAGTAATGTGCTTCTCGCGAAGAGCTGTTCTGCCAGTTTCTTATATAATAGGTAACCATAACCTGGAACAGGTATACAATTTTGTGGACCTTGGTATCACAATGGATCCTAAGCTTAATTTTAATCTTCACATTAATGTGACAGTCAACAAGGCTAAAGGTGTACCTGCATTTGTGAAACGATGGTCAAAAGAATTTAGTGACCCTTATATCACTAAAACCCTGTTTACAACATTAGTTAGGCCGATTCTGGAATACGGCTCGGTGGTTTGGAATCCAAGGTATCAAATTTACTCAGACAAGATAGAATCAATTCAAAAACAATTCCTACTTTTTGCTTTAAGAAATTTCCAATGGGATTCTCAATATAGTCTTCCACCTTATACGAGTCGCTTAAAACTTATTAACCTTCCTACACTTGCCAGTCGCAGGGAAATGCTTGGTATAATTTTTATGGTTAAATTACTGACAGGCTCAATTTCAAGTCCGTCTCTTCTGGCTGATGTAAGCTTTAATGTTCCCTCACGCGTATCAAGACACTTTTGTCCCATATTTCTGAAAGCTTGTAAAACCAATTTTGAATTGCACGACCCACTCCGTTGCTTATGCCAGGATTTTAACTCTCATTCCAGCACGTTTGATATATCAGATCCGCTTTTCAGCATTAAGAAAGCGATACTCTCCTCTCTCAATTAGTGAATTATTGACATAAATACATAAAATCAGCTGATGAATTTAGTTCTGTAGCTGAACAGTTTTAGATCTCGACACTTAACAAACTCCTGCCTATCGTGACTCGGCACAAAAATTTAAAATATTGGTTCCGTACGTCATGCGGACTGCGCCCCTCGTGCGTATGGGCGGGAATGGAGGGTAAAAACCGTTGGGATATTATTATTATTATTAAATTGAGCAATGCCCGAGTACACAATCTCATAAAACCAGCTCACTTTGTCATCGATATTTTCCAGCTTATATAAGTCTATCCAGTTTACGCCCAGGAAGAAGCTATTCAACGCTGCATAGTCTGCCTTTTTAAATACATAAGTAGGAACGTCATTTTGCTTCAGATTTGCACGGAATTTATGTTGCACCACCAGCGCGGGGTGATATGCATCCTCCTGGATAATGGGATCCGCCTTGTTAATCAAGAGGTTTAAATCGCTGAAGCATAGATCCAACATTCGTCCGTGCTCATTGTAGGTATTGTTTTGCTGGAGGCATACAGAGAGAAGAAATTTTTCATACAATATTGATTCACACTCAACTTGTGGTAAACTACTATTAAGATTATAATCACCGATTATTATAAGACTGCTGTTTGGATATTTATTTCTAAAGTAAGATATGGTAGCTATATGACTGGAGTATACATCAGAACGTGGTTTTGGTGGAATATAAACACACCCTATGATGATGTCACCACCACCGTGGCCTTTAACTTTAACGAATACTTGCTCCAGGTGATTGTTGCTTATTGTTAATTGTCTTTTGATCCCTGTCCCTCCTATAGATTTTATACGTACTGTCAACAATTTCGCCATCCAAAATAGACGGATGCAACCAAGACTCCGAAATACATAGTACATCACACTGCCAACTTGCTGTTATAGAGAAAAAATCTTTAAGTTTAGTTCTAAGCCCCCTTGCGTTCTGGTAGTAAACTAGCAGATCTTGTTTGGTCTTAGTGGTTCTCCTCGTCGCTTCGAAATCCAGGCACATTCACAATTCTTGGGATACCATTTATATACCTGATTGTCTTGTTTGTTTCACCATTCTTTTTAAGAGCCTTGAGCTCTTCCCGTATGCTGTTAAGATGATTCTGCTGGCACCGAGTCAAATCTGGTATAAAATTTATGTTGTCTCTGTTGTCTGTATGTTTTATTTGGAGAATTCTTCTTGCATCATCAACCGAAGGCGTAGTGATCAACAGAGGGCGAGTTTTGCGGTCTTTTGGGCGACCAATTCTGCGCATTTTCATATTAGAAACAACTTCGGCTAACTCAGGTGGTAAAGCTTTGGAAACCACTACGCGGTCATCATACAATCGATCAGAGCCCACTTGCTTCTTCGATTCAGGAACATTGAAGGCGATGACATTTCTTTCGCGCTTCTTCCTATCCACTGTCTCAGCTATGATATTATCCACATCCGATGTACCGCCTTCAAATGTTTTTAGCTTGTTTTCCACCTCACTGATTCTTTTGTCCAACGAAGCACATTGTTTAGACATACTCAGATTTTGTTTGGAAATGGTCTCAAGCTCTGATTCTATATTGCCCAGAGTTTTCTGTATATTATTCTTAAACGGTGTAAAGTACTTGTTGAATAGGCCCTCCAATTTTGATGTAATAGGGTCATCACTAAGTGATTTGACAGTCGAAGAGTGCGGACGTGTTTTTAAGTTCGCTCCGTAGTCATTAAATATTGTGCTAATTTAATAAAACAAAAACAAAAAATAAAAATAAAATAAACAAACAAACCAAATGAAAACAGAAAGTGATGAGTCAAGCTGAAATCCGAGCCCAGAAGCAACGCGAGCAAAATGAGCGCCGGCTTTCAGTTCAACGCAACAACGCATATTTCTCTATTCGGTCCCAGAGTGACAGCGAAAGCGCAAAGCCCAATCCATCGACCACCCTCAAACCCCCTCAAGATTCAGGTCAGCGGACTTGTCCTCCAAACTTACCATTGACGACTCCGATGTCTTGGAGTGTAGAGTGCGCTTCACCTGTGCCGTATCACATTTCACGCCCAACGCTTACATCAAATTCGGTAAGCGATAACATATCCCCAAATATAGCGGCAACAACAACTAGTACAGTGACATGTTTTACTGCCTCTATCGCGCCAAAAACAACAACAAACACACCGGTACCTGCCGACTGCACAGCGGTGTCAACAGCCCGGCCTATTCTTGCTGCGCAAGCACAAATTAACTTGAGTGCAAGCACTGGCAACAAAGGTAAAGCGCAAGAAAAGTTGAAAAACGAAACAACTAAAAATGCGGCCATACAGACTGGAATGGGCCGCTATGTTACAATAAAAATAAAACTTAGTCCGCAAAATTCAACGGGCAGTAAGACAAAAATAAACCGCCTTACCTCAACTCAGCAAGTCAGTACGAATAGATTTGCACTGCTAAGTGACAATGCCGATGATGTGAATAGCCAAATTTCTGAAGGTGCTGCAAAAGCTACTAATGCCAAACCTCCGCCCATTTTTATAAGAGAAGAGAATCCAAGCGCTCTTGTAAAAAAATTCACACAGCTAATCGGTAGTAATAAGTTTCATATTATCCCACTATCTAAGGGAAATATTCGCGAAACTAAAGTACAAATTTATTCCGAACAGGATTTTCGAACAGTGTCCAAATACCTGAATGACACAAACACAAAATTTTATACATACCAACTTAAAAGTGCAAAAGGTCTACAAATTGTAATTAAAGGTATCGAACCAAGCGTTGAAGCTGTGGAAGTTTTGGAAGCACTCAAAGAACAAGGTTTCAATCCAAAAGCTGCTGTGAATATTTTTAATAGGAACTAAATCCCTCAACCTTTGTTTAAAGTTGAGCTCGAGCCTGAAAACAAACCTCTGGGCAAAAACGATGTGCATCCAATTTATAAATTACAATATCTGCTGCATCGTAGGATAAATGTGGAAGAACCGCATAAGAGAAATGGCCCTGTACAATACGTACTCATAATGTACCGAATGCCTTTGTACCCTCCCAAACGAATCCTGACGTCTTCTTCGCCAAAAGAGCCACGTCGCCAACAGTTCTATCAAACACCGTCAATGGCGTCTCGTTTGCAAGTGCCTTAAAATCAGGCTTAGAAAACCGTGCCCCTACAAAAACTGCACCTCAAGTTGCGCCGCAAGAACAGCATCCCCATACACATTATGGTAAACAATCCAATATCGACGCTATGATAGCGTCGATGCAACAAAGCATGATGAATTTCATGACTTTCATGCAAAACACAATGCAAGAACTCATGCGAAATCAAAATGCACTGCTCAACCTGCTTGCTACTCAGCAAACAAGATTATGACCTTACTTAAAATAGCCCTCTGGAATGCAAATGGCATTCCTCGCCACAAACTAGAGCTGTCAAAACTTCTTAAGGACAAGGAAATTGACATAATGCTCCTTGCTGAAACACACCTAACTAATAGATATAATTTTGACATTTCGGGATATACCTTTTATTGCACGAATCATCCAGATGGAAAGGCGCGTGGCGGAACTGGTATTTTAGTCAGAAACCGGAAACAGAAAAACAGTTTATGGATTTCTTCAGTTCGCTGGGAGAGCGCTTCCTTGCTGCAGGTGATTATAATGCGAAGCACCCTCACTGGGGCTCACGCTTGTCCAACCCTAAAGGCAAGCAATTATATAACGCGCTTATATGTAGAAGAAACAAACTCGATTACGCTTCTCCTGGAAAGCCTACATATTGGCCGGCAGACCCGCAAAAGTTGCCAGATTTGATTGACTTTGCGGTGACAAGGAAAATTCCTCGCGGCCTTATTAGTACAGAATCAGTTGCAGATCTTTCATCAGACCACTCACCTGTACTTTTCACCTTGTGGCATCAGCCGTAAGAAACAGAGTCACCCTATATGCTCACGACAAGGGTTACAAATTGGTTAAAGTATAAAAAATATATCAGTGCGCATATAGACCTCGATCCAAATTTAGATACGCCGACCGATATTGAAAACTCCATAGCCGCTCTTGAATCTACACTTAGAACAGCCGCTAGCATTTCCACACCCCAGAAAGGTTATGTGCAAAATAAAAAATATATTTTAACCAATAGGAAAATTGAAATGCTTGTCTTGGAAAAACGACGCCTACGACGGATATGGCAGACTCATAGATCACCAGCATCAAAACAACTGCTCAAGGCGGCCACACATGCACTGACGAGAGCCCTCAAGAACGAGGAACAGTACGCACAGTATCGGTACATCCAAAAGCTCTCACCGACTAGCACAAAGCACTCGTTATGGAAAGCACACCACAAGCCAAATGCGCCAATAGAGACTGAAATGCCAGTACGGGACCACAATGGCAAATGAGCTCGGAGTGACGCAGAAAAAGCAAACACCTTTGCTTCTCATCTAAAAAATGTTTTTAGGCCAAACCCCGCAACTAATGATTTTCAACTTCCACCCGTACCCAATGTGTCAAAATGTGAGCCGCTGAAATTTGTACCTGAAGAAATTTCAAAAGTAATTAACTATCAACTGCAACCAAATAAGGCCCCAGGGCACGACTTAATAACCCCAAAAATGATTATTGAGCTACCAAATTGTGCTGTACTTTGCATCTGTATGCTATTTAACGCAAACACTAAACATTGTCATTTCCCTCACCAATGGAAAAAGTCGACTATTGTGATGATACCAAAGCCCGGAAAGGACAAAACGCAGCCATCTTCATATAGGCCCATCAGCCTGCTACCGTGTATGTCGAAATTATTCGAAAAACTTCTTATGCAGCGCATCTTCCCACATCTGCAAGCCCGCAATATAATACCACCAATTGGCTTCAGGGAAAAACATGGAACAATCGAGCAGGTAAATCGCATAACAACCGAAATCCGAACAGCGTTTGAAAAGAGGGAATATTGCGCTGCAATATTTCTTGACGTCGCCCAGGCATTTGACCGCGTCTGGCTAGATAGTCTTATGTATAAAATACAAATGCTACTCCCACAAAGCACACACAAACTGCTTAAGTCATACCTTTATAATCGAAAGTTTGCAGTTCGATGTAACACCACCATTTCTGAAGCCCATGCAATCGAAGCTGGAGTGCCACAAGGCAGTGTCCTTGGCCCGATGTTGTATGTCTTATACACCGCGGATATTCCTACAAACGACCGCCTGATAATGTCCACTTTTGCCGATGACACTGCCATAATCAGTCGCTCCAAGTGTCCTCTACAAGCAACTGTGCTCCTAGGCAATCATATGGAAGCTGTTGCCAATTGGCTCGCAAACTGGCGAATAAAGGTTAACGAGCAAAATGTAAGCAAGTTACATTTACACTGAATAAGAGTAACTGTCCGCCCTTGACTTTAAACAACGTACAAATACCACAAAGCAATCATGTCACTTGCCTAGGGGTCCACCTGGACAGGCGACTTACTTGGCGAAACCACATAGTGGCTAAAAGGACTCATCTCAAGCTGAGGGCTAATTCTCTCCACTGGCTTATTAGCTCTCGCTCACCCCTGAGTCTGGAGTATAAAGTGCTTATTTACAATACAGTTTTAAAACCGATATGGACCTATGGATGTGAGTTATGGGGAAACGTGAGCAGCAGCAACATCGACATCCTTCGTCGTGCGCAATCTAAAATCCTTCGAACAATCACCGGAGCACCTTGGTATATGCGAAACGCGAACATTCACCGCGACTTGAGAATACCAGAAGTACGAACCGAAAAATAGAACAACGGATGAAGAAATATGTATCGAAGCTTTGAGCGCACCCAAATCATTTAGCAAGATCTTTATTGCGTGTCAACAGGACCTCAAGACTACGTAGGAATGACTTACCAGCCCAGTCGTAATCTTTTCTTATACCATGTCCCCACCAAAAAGTTAACCATCTCAAGTCGAACTTAACCACATTACTAACTATTGCTGTCCACACTGCGGTTTGAGGTTTATAAAACAGTACAAATGTAGGGAACAGTGTTCGGACCTCTAAAACTCGATTCAGGACTAAATCGCTGCAAAAATCGGAGCAAAAACAAATTTTCCGTACTAGAATGAATTTTTTATTTTCGTTTCTAACATTAATTGTTTGACTTAAATATTTTCTATTCATGCAAAAATAAGAATGCGAGGCAATGTAAGGATAATATGTTACATATTTAGGTAATTTTTAGCATTTTCTATAAAGTAGAATGTATCTAACTCTTGATTTTTTAAAGACTAATAGGATCTAAACCTTTTCTACTTTATATAAATTTCATTCTACGTATATTTTTTAACTGCTTTATTTAAGTTCTGCATCCGCCAATTTCTACAGCCATACATCAAAAAATAACGAAGTTACTTTATTGACGCATTGCTATGAAAGAGTTTCTTTTTAACAGTGAGAATTGGCTAACTTTCAATTTTTTTACTGAAACCGGTGGTGAACACGCAAAAAAAGGCCCCAAGAGGGTCATAACATGAATAAAGAAAACGGAATAGATTTGAAGTCAAGCGGAGTAGAGAAGTAGATACCACATTTTTTTTTAAAAACCGGACTAAATCTAATCTGATCTTAGTTAAGTCCAAACACCAGTAGGGAACGAATTTTTTACATTTTAACGCTAATGACCCACAGATGGCGGGAAAACACAGGGTTGTATCAGACTTTCGACGTGGTTTCGAGTTGATTAGCTTTTAACCATCTCAGTGAAATGGTTAAGTGCTGTCATTTTTATATGGCGAAACAACGCTAGATCAAGTGGGTTATCGGGATAACCAACTCAACAGCCATAACTACGTGGTTAAGCTCTGGTGGGGACATGGTATTAGGGCCAGTTAAGAAAATACTCATCCCAACTAGGGGATGTAAATTAAGTGAATAGATTAAGATTCGAAAACTTATTGTTAGGCTCTTAGGCAGGGCAGATTCAATAAAAAAAAAAATTTAAAAAAAAAACTAAGGTTATCGTCTTCTAGATCATCAGAAACAATTATGCTTGCCTCCAGTTTACATTGGTTACAGCACCATTTGAATTTATTTTTCTTGATTTCAGTTGCAATTCTCTTGAAGTCTTTAGTGTTGATGTCTGAACACTTTTGGTGTAGCCACCTGTTACAGACTGTGCACAGTATACTGGACGTATTTTCTTTAATTGCATTGGCGCAAGCACCACACGTATATTTCTCAAGTGGCATTTCTACAAATGTTCTAACCGGTTTGCCTTTGCTGAGTGGCAGCCTCAAATCAACGTTGGTAATGCAGTTTTTAAATGTTGTTAATGTAGTTTTTCGATGATAACTTTTTAAAATACGCTGCTCTTAATAGTTGTTTTATCTGCTCTTAGTTTTTCTAAATATTTTTCCTTCGCGCCGTATGCAAATAAGCAAATTTAAAGAAATTTAAGAAATTTCCTTTTTCTATGCTGGAGACGTCTGTGGAACTAGGACACAGCAGGCCACAAGGCTGGACAGTGCCCAAACAGTCACAAGATGCCGCGAACCGCTGTTAATACACACTTTTAGCGAGTTTTTCGGGGACCGCAAAAAAACACGTCCGTTTGCGAATTCAGTGTTAGCACAGTGTTAGGCGCAATATTAAACTTCTTCTGGCAGGGCGACATCTAGAGTCTTCTAATTGTATCTCCTTGATATGATGCCTACAACGAGGTTCATATCTAGACTAAGTTTATATCTAGAAATGTCCATAAATAGCTTTGCTACATTTATAGTATAAATGGTGGTTTGGACATACAACATTGCAAGTTGAGAAAAGCGTTGTAAAAAGCTGTTAAGTGAAGATTACACGATTTGTACATTTTGGCATTGAAAGAGTGGTGTTGTTTAGAAATTTTGAGTTCAGCTCAATAAAAGAGTTTCCGAACAACACCACTCTGTACCACGGTTGCCGTTTTGGTCCAAATGGACCAAATTTGGTCCATTTTATTTCGTTTGGTCCATTGGTCCAATTCTTTTTAAAATTGTCAAATTCACAAGCCTTTGGTTAGGTTATTATCACCCTTTCACTTCATGCAATAGTTTCGCCTTTTAAATTTTTTCTATTTAATAGATGAATATTCCGCCCTATGTTGAATATCGTCGTCGTCAGTAAAAGTGACGATACGACCATCGTCAGCCATGTTACTGATGCGCTGACGATCGTCGACAATGACGATGACAATATTCAGCATAGGGCCGATTGGCAACACCTGCTAAAAGTGTGAACTCGCCTTGCCACTGAAAATAAATATAGCATGGCTAATCATCTGTCTAAGCACGCTTAAAAAAATATCGCGGTTTCTCGCTAATTTCAATTTCTCGGTGACCAATATTAATGTTGCTGGCAAAAATATTGAAAGGTACCAAAACTTAAATCATAGCATTTAGCACATGGAAATAATATTCGATTTCAATCGAAAAGATATTAAATATCTTAAAATTATTACACCACATAAAGTTCTTTCTGATACTGCTGCACTTTCGTAAAGATATCGACCAGTATAACCATTTTTGTTATATACAATTTTTTGTGAAAGCTGATAGTTTACGAGTTATTACAGTTTAAATGAAGCTTTTCTTTTTCCAATCTGGTCACTCGGGTACAGCATCCAATGTCCCAAAAATCGAGTCTTAAGATAAAATAAAGAGAAATCTTTCAGAAACAGTGCTAATGGTGTATTAAATATAGTGTTTTCAAATAGAATGGGAGCCAAAATCCAAAATTTCAAAAAAAAGTGACATTTTGAACTGTATTTTGAAGGTTAAGTTATTGTTGTTGTAACTTCTCTATAGTTTTCCTACATTATATGATAATTTATCTTCACGATAAAAAAATTTTCATTCCATTATCTCTTTTCTAACCGAAGATCTACGATTTTGAAAAAAACTCGTGTTTTGCCTATAGTGCGGCATTCACAGGCATTCACAGGGACTCAGTCTCGAGTTATGTAGACTCTAGACCTGTGAATGCCGTTCTAGGCACACAAACACCGGACATTGACGTGACGGAGCTCGCATCTGCCTCGGGAGACAAGAACAACAATAGCCCAACTTCGCTCTGGCTACTGCAGCAGGTTAAACTCATACCTGAGTACACTAAATGCGGATGTGCCAAAAGAGTGTCCGGCATGCGGAGATACCCCTCACGACTCGAAACATCTCTTCGCATACCCAGAAAACCCGAAAACCCTAACGGCTTTGTCCCTGTGGACCGACCATATAGAGGCTGCACGCTTCTTAGGGCTGCCGTTAGTGGAACTCGACGACAACGACTGAGATATCAACCGATCTGGGCGGGGTTGTTGTAGCCGCTACAACAATTAAAAAAATTTTGCGTAGAACGCTGAAACCGAATCGCAAATGCACTGCAGAGAGTTTCACGTTGTCAAACGACAACAAACAACAAACCTGAGGTAAAATGTCCATAATGACGTTTTTAAAAAATATTTTTTTTTTTACACTATATATTTTATTTTTATTTACATAATGAAAACAGCTCTTATAAGGATTTTATTTTGTTGCATTAAATAGAAAAGTTCTTTAAATGTAAAGTGTATCTTAAACTGAAGCATTTTCATCTAAGTTAAGGGCCCGTTGTTCAATGTATGGCTATCACCAGTACATCATTATCGAAGATTTCGACATCATGCATATAACATGTGTTCGATAAAGCAGTTGTTGAACTTAACCGGAGCTTCCGATTTGTGTTAATCAGACATTGAACAACGGGCCTTTTGACCACTTCGGTATGTTAATTATAGATAATTATTTTCCGTTTACCTTTACCATCCCATGGCACACGACTATGCAGCATTATCCACATCGCCTTAACAGAATTCAGAAGAAACACTTCGTACACAGGGCTGCCAACTTGGCTCAAACCGTGCCATTTTTGGCCGCATTTTACTTCAAATGGCACTTAATTTTTCAATTTGGCACTTTTGAAAAATAATAATATATCAATTCATTTGTGAGAAATCCTTTGCGTGTACTTCTTTTTGTCAACTAAATTTTTCTAATTTCTATAGTGTATACAACTGGTTAATCTTACTTTGCATTCGACTTTTGTTTTAGGAATGTGTTCGTAATTTTAATGCTAAATGAGAAGAACTAAAAAGAATGACAGCACTTTTATTTTTCTATTTGGCACATTTTGGCACTGTTTTATCCTCAATATGGCACTTCATAGCTAAGTATAGTTGGCAACCCTGATCGTACTAACTGAAATTTTTTCGCCTGCGCGATAGTAGAAGTACCTATGTATGTACACTTTTAAGATGCATTCATATGAATTATGCGTGGCTTTTATTGTATCTCTGTATTTCCATAACTCCCTGTGTGAAAACCAAATAATGTAATTCTTAACAGAAGTGCTTAAAACTTAACAGTTTGGCAATTTAAACACTGTCTGGTGTTCTCTTACTAGCGCCCGCAACTATACTTCTTATTTACTACCGCCGGCAGCTTTAACAATTTTATAGTGGTTTTTGGCAAATTACGCTCTGTTAGCCATAAATTTTACTATGCTTTAACCGCCTTTGTATCAAGACCCCTGGACCATGTATGGAATTCATTTATATTTTAAATTGCATTGTCATCGTGATTGGAACTATGCTGAAAATTTCAAGTCTCTACCTTGTCGGGAAGTTAGTTTAAAATCGATTGGAAATTTCCGCGGGATGACCAAGTTAAATAAATGCTTGTAAAAAATGAAAGCACTTTCAAACGCTGACTACATCACTACCTTTCTTGCAAAAATACTCCGATTTTAAGATTATCAAATATTTACTATGAAATGAAAATGGATGACCATATACTATCCCCCTTATTCTAGAACCCGAAGTTTCGTAATTCGTAATTTGTAGCTACGCTACGAAAAACGAAAAATCCACATGCTGCAACCCTTGCGGAAACATGTGCAGCATTGCCAGCTATCAGTTGTTTTTCGAAGATAGCTGAATGAAGGAAAACAAAGTGGAAAGGAATTAAAAAAAAACACTCATCATGTGCTTGTTTACTGTAAAATTGGTTAATTTTACATATTTCGAGGAAAATTATGGATTCTGATGTATTTGCAATTATAGCAGAAAAGTAAGCGGGCGCTATGGCAATGGATTCACAAAGGTATGCGGAGCTGTCGGGCATAGTAACCATGGGCGCATCTATGTCAGCTTCTGGTTGAATTGTTGAACCACAAGCCAGAACTCCTCCTATGCCTGAAGCTCTGGTTCTCAATCCAGTTAATGCAATAACAGCTTCTTCCAAGCCATTGAAAACATGCACTTTGTTAGGTCCACCACCTGTTGCGCTTGCTTCTGCCTTCGGCCGCGCTTAGGGATTATAACCCTTACTAAGTAGAATTCTCCTTTTTGTGTTGCGGGGAAGAGGGGCTTCCGCATGCCAAAGGTATACAACATTTCTTGTGCATATCACTCCGGCTACGCCGTCCACAGTATTTTTGCGCGGAACACACGTCGAAATTTGCAAAAAAGTGCATAGTG